AATAAAGGTAATTTTCCAATTTTTTCCTATTTTGTTGTAAAGTGTGTTTTGTTTTACATAAAAAATGTTGGAAGTATTTTAACTTTCGTCACTTTCTGTAGTATGCATTTTTAAAGGTTATTTATTAATATTAACACATTTTTTTCTAAAAATAAAGATAATTTTACACTTTTTCGTTGTTTTATTGTAATGTGTGTTTCGTTTTACTTAAATGTTGGAAGTGTTATACATTTCGTCACTTTCTCTATTATGCATTTTTGAAGGTAATTATCAAAATTAGCATATTTATTTCTAAAATTAAAGGTAATTCTACACTTTTCTCGTATTTTAAGTGTGTTTTGTTTTACATAAAAAATGTTGGAAGTATTATACATTTCGTCATTGTCTGTATTAGAATTTATAATTTATATAACATATGAAAATCCGAAATATCGGCTCAAGCTATTTGTGGCAAAGACCGTGGAGCCGTTATTTCGTCTCTGGGTATTAAAAGGGATAACGTCCAGATTCGGTACCGCGAAATTCAAAATCAAATTTAAATTATCTAACAAATACAATTTTCAGATTTTGTTTCCCTTTAAATTAAAAGGTAACCAAACATATAACTAAAAGTGTAAATGTCCACACTCGTGACCGCAAAATTCAAAATCAAATTCAAATTATCTAACAAATACAATTTAAATACTTTGGTTTCCTTTCCCTAAATATCATCGATGGTTGACGATCGAATGTAATATATTTATTGTATAATAAATTACACAGCCTAACTCATCGTCGACGAATCACAGTCGTCGTTCGTCATTTCCGTAAACAGTCCGAGAAATTTCAAAGTTCAACTATCGGTAAGTTTCCTCAGCCCATGAAAATTGCATTGGACACGACCAATGGCCACGGAACGTTCTTGATACGAGCGTGTTCTACTAACATAGCGGAATCTATGATCTATAGCGGCCCTCATATTTAATAGATTCTTCGGCACCTTCGCGTTCGATAGGCGTTACACTTGACACCGAAGAACTACCTACATTGTGTAGAAATAAATCCATAAACCGCGAGTCAAATGGAACTGAATCGTCGCCCTCTTCGAGACCACGAGGAAACGCGGAAATTTCGATTGGAAAATTTGTGCGTGAAACAGGGAGAAAAAGAAACATTGAATCGTTAAATTCATGTTATTAATTTTACTGCTGCAACGAAAAGCATCTCAATTAATTACAATGTAAGCAGATAAGGAATCAGGGGAGAATAACAATTTTGTTTTATTATATTAATATTAATTTAATTATTTGTTGTTGTTTTTTTCATTTCAACATGTCCTGGCTAGGCGCAGGCTGAAGGAAGATGTATTGTGTTATCTTCTAGACATTTTTTAAAATGTATCTCATTGAAAACTCCACCATCAAATATTCTACCATTAGTACCGACATTTGCGTATACCAAGTCGTAATTTTCGTCGACTAGTACTGCAAAAGGACAATACTAAAAAATGGCATATGATTGAAAAACTCACTACCCAGATAGCACATGACGCCTTGAAGACGGCTTGAAGACGCCTTAGACCTAAAATAGCTGTGAAATGGGCGTCGTGGAGGCGTCATGTGCTATCTGGGTATTTAATGGTGCTTGTAAAGCAATTTGTCATTGAATTATTTTTCTATCATTTTCCACTGCGATTCATTTTTTGTCATCTGAAAGAAAATAATCAAATATCATTCAAAATATCATTATTTGTAGGTTCAGGAGCAAGTTCAAGAGGTTCAGAAGGTATCTGATACGGAGGTAAATGAAGGAGATAGAAATAAGAGCCACCATTGGAAAATGGACACAACAAACGTGTATTAAAGTTACCCAAAAAGGGAGCAAAGCAAAGATGCAGTCAATTTAATACGGTGCCTATTTTAAATTAGGCAATTTCTATTATAAAAAACATAGGGTAAAAGACCCATTTATTGCCACTTACCGAATTACTGTTATCCTAGACTACTTTACATAAAATAACAAATAAATACTGGGAAGTTATCATGAGCCTTTCGCCCAACAGTATAAGAAAATACAGAATATCTGCTATTGCCATGATGTGCCTGCTCTATTCGATGAATTCCAGCAGCCTCATGATCCAGAAGAGTGGCGTTTGTTCATCGATAGCAGCAACGAAAGTTTAAAGGCTGTTTTGCTACAGAATGGAAATGAAAAGCCATCGATTCCAATCGCACATGCCGTCCAAACAAAAGTAACGTACGAGACAATGGCGCAGTTATTGCAATGTTTCAAATACGAGCAATACAAATGGAAAATTTGGGCCGACTTAAAAGAGGTCGGAATATTGTTAGGTTTGCAAGGCGGGTACACGAAGTGTTGTTGTTTTCTTTGTATGTGGGATAGCCGTGCACGTGATCCGCACTACGTAAAAAAAGACTGGGCCTTATAAAAAATTTCGTGAAAGCATTGAATTAAAATAGATGATGCATTAATATATTTAAAGACCATTTTCCCCAAAGGCGTTTTCGATGGGCTGTAGATCAAAAAGATGCTGGAAAATGAACAATTTGAATTGCATTTATCGCCAGAATGAAGCTGCCGCATTCAATTCCTTTCGATTGGTCGTCGCTGGCTTTCTTGGCAACAATAAATGTCCAGACTTTGTGAACATCATCAATGATTTGCTCAAGAACTATAAGAAAATCGGTATCTAGTGCTGTTTGTAATAATTTCATTTGTATCGATCTTCTGCTGTAACAAGCTTTTTTTAGTTTATATTAGCATATATTATTATTTTCAATTATTGATAAACGTTTCAGAATGTTTATTGTTAAAGAATATTAATCGTTCGAATTCAAAAATTGCGAGGGTACGAATACTTTTGTGACTCACTGTAAATGTAAATTACATGTGTGAACGTAAATATGTGAATGTATATGTGTAAATGTAAATGTAAATACAAATGTAAATGTATAAATCTAAATGTAAATACAAATGTAAATGTTTAAATGTAAATGTAAACACAAATGTAAATGTGTAAATGTAAATTCAAACATAAATGTAAATGTGTAAATGTAAACATTAATGTAAATGTGTAAATGTAACTGTAAACATAAATGTAAATATGTAAATGTAAATTTAAACATAAATGTAAATGTGTAAATATAAATGTGTAAATGTAAATATAAACGTAAATGTAAATGTGTAAAAGTAAATATAAACGTAAATGTAAATGTGTAATTGTAAATGTGTAAATGTAAATGTGTAAATGTAAATGTGTAAATGTAAATGTGTAAATGTAAATGTGTAAATGTATATGTGTAAATGTAAATGTGTAAATGTAAATGTGTAAATGTAAATGTGTAAATGTAAATGTGTAAATGTAAATGTAAACATAAATGTAAATCAAATTAAAGTAAAATATCGAATGTTCACAAACACATCGGAATGTTCTTTGTACAGACCAGCTATCACGACACATACACGCGAACGGTAGCTACCGTGGATTTCATACGCGCGGGTTGCGACACGTGGAGGTGGGCGCATACGCGGGTTGTCGTCGGTTCGTCGCGTCGTTGACGATCGGATCGCGCAGTTCTTTGGCGCGAGCATACCAAGATTGACACCACCCTGGATCCTCGCATCGCGACAAAGTACACATCGTTTCTCCAGGCGTTTTCACGGTCTCGAGATCTGCTCAAGGTGCGCGCAAGGCACGGTTTCGATTAGTGTGCTCCAACGTTCGCGCGACAGGGTATCCGAGGGGGAACGTGAATTTACAAAAATAACGAAAAACGTGCCCAAGATCATTTATATTTCACGATTTTTCACTAGATATTTGTTGTTTCTCGCGTATCGATGTTATAAAACGTACGATCATCGGGGGGCTGTTTCGAGAATGCGGATCGTGCAATTCGCGTACGATCTAGCTGGACCGATTTTACGGCGTACCGTCAAACTTAACCTCTACACATCGATGCTCGCTGTCTTCTCGGTTCTAAAGACCGGCCAAAAGCTCCGAAACCGACTACCAGCTTCGAATATATCCAAGGTTTTTCAGAATTTGATAAAAAAAAAAATTAAGAGAAACCAGGCACCGCGGTCCTTTGTGTTCGCGAATCGAAGATCGTGGGATCCGTGATATTGCCGATAACGAAACTTCAGTGCATCGAAAAATCCGAATTTTTTTTTGTAAACTTTGCAGATTAGTAAAGGATCTCCACAGAAGCATGCGGAAATTTTTCGTTTTTGCTAATATTTGGTTCTTTAGGGTGAAACCACCCCTAAAATGTTAACGCGTTCTTTCCTATTTCCCTGTATATCTTCAAAATAATAATACATACAAAAAAACTATTGAAATAAAAACTTGATGGCTTGTTACGCTCTAGAAAAATGTGCAATGAAATTGATAAAAATTAGTTTTTTAAATAAATAAATAAATAAACAAACAAATTTTTAACAATTTAATGGGACGTTTTTATAGAGTGCAACAAGCCATTAAATTCTTGTTTCACTAGTTTTTTTGTATGTACTGTCATTTTCAAGATATACAGAAAAATAAGAAATGACATGTTAATTCTTTTAGGGCTGATTTTACTCTAGAGAACCGAATATCAGGAAAAACAAAAAATTGCACGTTGCTTCTATTCAGATCCTTTAAAAACTTGCGGATTTTTATGAAAAAAATCGGAATTTTCGGTGCATCAAAATTGCCTTGTACCTTTACCGATTTCGGGACCTTCTTTCGACTTTGAAAAATTCTTTGCGATCTAGTCTTCACATTGTACCTTGAAAACACACACACACACACAAACATTTTTATAGTTTATTCCCTTATGAATTGTGTTTAACAACGGTGAACAGTTAATGGTTTATGTACATAAATAGCTCCGAGTGAAAGTGATTTGAAAATTATTCCGTTCTTTTTTTTTTGTAAATCGTTTGTTGTTCTTTCTTTTTCTCGAGAATCTTCATGGAAGTAAATTCACGGTTTTGGTGGTTTTGCCTAGTATATCGCCGCTATGAAGCCGAAGAAATTGGGAATCATCGGCGGCTCCATGTTCGGTTTCGGCATTGTGTTCCTTACGATCGCGTTCCCGCCGTTTCTTAGGTCGCAGATCAAGAAAGTAAGTGGAGAGCGCTTTCAATGTTTTATTACTTTTTCCACTCCTCGTGCACTCCTATTACTTTATTCTTTTGTATCGTGTAACGTTCAGCAACGATCATCGTGAAATTCTATATTTTGATAATGAAAATGTCGATAGGGTTTCATGTTTTGTTACGAATTGATTTTGAAACAGCAGGTTTTGCGGTTAGAATTAGGACTGTTACGAATATTCGAATAATTCGAATGCTCGAATATTCGACTAGCAGTATTCGAATTTGATATTCGAAATATTCAAATTATTCGGAGTATTCGAATACTCGTAGTGAACGAAATTTGGATTGTACTGAATAGAAATCTGAACATAATATTTTTATTCACTCTTTATCGTGAAATTCTTTTCACATTGGCCTTTACAATTATATGTTTTTCAAATTCCTATTCGGTGCAATTCGAAATTCCATCACTTCTATTATTCGAATATTCAAATGTTTTAATAGTCCGTACTATTCAAATTATTCGAGTAGTTCAAATATACGAATATCCGTCCAAAATTTCAAAATGTTTTTTCTATTTCTGACCTTGTATGACCTTGAAGGCCATCGTGTCGTATATAAATGAATCCGTTTTGACACACGCTTTCAAATGATATAAAAAAATGTATACTATTCCATTGAAAAAATTGAAGGTCAGCTTCATTTTTAAAAAAATAGTACGAACACAAGAAATATTATATTTGACTTTTTCCTCTTTCATTTTTTTCTAATATTTACCATTTCCAAGAAAAACGCTTATAATAACGTGAACGCCCTGTATAAGGAATCAGAAATGTGGTGACTCTTTTTGTCCGCTACTGTACATGCTTGTGATTTATTGCGGAATTTTTTGCGACAGTTCGAGCGCCGAAAAAAGGAAATTAAACGGAAACATATTTTCAGCTTTTCATTACAACCATTCGTTACTAACCACTACTGCAGTGCTGTTCTTTATTCCTGTAATTGAAACTTTGTACCCGAGCCCGTTCATCGTCATTCGACGTTGCATTTAATTCTGCGTGATTATCTTCCCTAAAACGTGCAATTAATTCTGATTAATAGGGTAACGACACGCACGCCTTTGTTTTCACTTCATTCCCATTACCTTCGTCGATGTAACACCGCCAGACTTTCCTGAATCTCGCCACTGTAACTGTCATTTCGGGTCAATTAACGTGTCATTTAGACGATTATGTAGAACGTAGAACATTAGTTAAGGAGTTATACGAATTCGAATAACGCATGCGTTTCCGTGTCACAAAATTTGGTTGGTTTTTTCAATAATTTTTGGGTGAACATCTGAAAAGCATTCACACCTGATGACCCTGACCTTGACATATGTTATCAAGGTCATCCTCCCAAGTAACCTTCAAAAGGTTCAAACCACCTTGATCATTGGTTAAAAAGTTGTTAAATAATTAAGTAATCTTCCTAGAAATCTGAACACATGTAACGTAGTGTTGTAAAAAAATAATGTTCAAAACATTATACTTATAAAACAAAACAAAAAGTAGTGTTCAAAGCATTATACTGATCTGAGTCAGTTAGAGCTAGTTAAAAAAACAAACTGGTAGATTAAATACTTGCTTATTTCGACGTTGAATTCCACAAAAAATAGGTGATAATAATGATACCTTTTTTCTTGAACTCTCCCTAAGCAACTTTGAATTATTTTTGTTTCTGAATGAAATATTTTGTTTTTGTTTCTAATAAACTTCGAAGCATGATACTGATCGTAGTTGGTTGGATAATTTTTTAGTAACCAATAATTATAATTGGCCGTTTAAATCTTTTGAAGGTTAGTCAGGAGGATGGTCTTGATAGCATATGTCCAGATCAGGGTCAGCGGGTATGAGTGTTTTTCGAAAGTTTATCCTTAAAATGCCTCCCTTCGCGTTACTTGCAATGTTTTATACCATTTTAAAGGAAAATAAACCGTTTTTCACAGAAAAAACAGTCTGCGTCATTATATGTATATACGGATATGCACCTGGTTAGGCAAACCTTCCTTTCAATTTAGTCTGATTACATTCAATTTTCTTTACGTTCTTAAAATGTGTCGAAGTAGTTGGACAACACTTTGAGCATTTGTTAAAATAATTTGTCAGAAAATCAAAAGTAAATGAGATATTTAAGGTGCATACGTTAGATGGGACACCCTATATATAAATTAAAAATCGCCCAATTTGGGACTTCCGATTCCTTTAAAAAATTCACCAGAATTTTAGTAGAAACGTCGTCCAAGTCGCGATGAATTGCCCAATCTGGCAACGCTGTTATCAAATTAAGGAGAAAAAAGGGAAAAAGTTGAACAATAGTGGCGGGAAAGTGGTACAGCTAGTAAATGCAAGTGATTGAGGAGGGGGGGGGGTAGTGTGACATATTTTTTCGCTTCTGTTGAGAATTTAATCTGGCAACACTGGTCAGGAGTAGTGATGGATAGTCGAGCCGAGCAGCTCGAGCTGTATCGGAAGCTTTCGATTCACCGGATCGGCTCGGCTGGTCAAGCAGGCCGAAATGACAGTTTTATGAGGTGAAAGCGGAGACCTGGCCGCCGGCAACTGACCCTCGGGCCCTCGGGTTACAGTGTGACACACGGAATGAATCACCCATGAATAAAAATTTAAACTTTTACTCCTTTCAGAGTATTTTCTTAAAAATGTTATGAATAAATGTAGGAGATTCTCCTGATGAAAATAAGTCCAATCTCGACATAAATCGGACTATATTTAATAACATTACAATTCGTACCACAACATAACGCATGAGTAAGCATTTAAACTTTTACTCCTTTCAGAGTATTTTCTTAAAAATGTTATGAATAAATGTAGGAGATTCTCCTGATGAAAATAAGTCCAAATAGTATTCTGTTTCACAATGCGTGTTTCAAACGTGAAAGGGAATCAATGTGACAACTGATTAGAACAATTCAGAAATCCGCGTTTACGGTATAAGTGTGGACGTGTTGCCAACATAATGGAATTTTCTCCATTACAGCAAGTATCGTTGAAGGAAGGCTCCGAGATGCGTGAATTGTGGTCGGACTTCCCTCTTCCGTTGGACTTTAAGATTTATCTTTTCAACGTGACGAACCCTATGGAGATCACAGCGGGAGCGAAACCGATCGTAGAAGAAATCGGTCCATTTTTTTACGAGTGAGTGATCCCATATAGCAATTAAAGAAACGCGCGGAAGTTTTTTGTTGTAACTTAATCTTGAAAATCGATGTACAATTCAAGGAGCGAAAATATTATTATAAAAAGAAGATGATTGTGCATTAAAAACTTTTCTTTTTATTCGAATGTTCTTGCATGTGCCGCCAGTATTCTTGAGAATTTTTAGAGGAATTCTGTTTCGTCAGGCCCGGTCGCCGTGTGCCCAATTTGTTATAAACAATTCTCACAATAACCTTATTATAAGCTCTCTAAGTTGGTATTACGAAATTTAAACAAAAAATTGATCTCGAAAGAATCATAGGAATTCAATTTAGAAAATAAAGTTAGGACAGCTTCTACTTCGAAGTAACACTTGTCGCCAAATATACAATATTGCCGCCGTTGTTAATCTGCATGTTTTCAGTTTCCTTGTAATTATTGGTACGCACATGTACATCGATACGTGCGAACACATTTTATACAGAGTTCAATAAATTGTAGTAAGTCGTTTACACTTAAACAGTAAAGTCGCTTTAACTGCGCGCGGAAAGGCCTCTACGTTAACTTTCCACGCGTCGGTCCCAACACTGGGGGGGGGGGAATCCCCCTGGAACCAGTCAAACGTATAATTTATTACGCTGGCGACTTCCTCTTCATGAGTCGACGCACAGTGGTCCAGAATAAAAATTTAGTAGCGCAAATGGTCAAAAACAAATTTCTTTTGTTTTCCAAAAAATTCACATCAATGTATTCATTATCCATGGAAAATTTGTCCCACGCATTATTGTCCTCCTAACAACCTTTCGTATCATCAGTCTCAATCAAGAATAGAATAAAGAATCCCTACAAATTCATACTTTCCTAAAAAGGTTGAGAACACTGTTAGTGCATTATGACGTCGTCGAAGAAGATCTCTAAAATTGATGAAAGTTTGTTCATTTATCTACTTTTACTTGAATGAATTATACGTTTCAAAACTTTTATATTGCTAATCGTACGATCTGCTAAATTTTTATTCTGGACCACTGTGCGATGGTTGAACGATGGAAGCCCAAAAAAAGTTTAAACGTCAGCGTGTCAGGTGAGACGACGCTAATGCATCTTTCGGCTGCCTCGACTCTTAGCTTCTCATTCCTTCTGAGTCTCTGTTCTTTCCTGCGACCGTTGCTGTCCATATTACATTGAACTGGAAATTGCAATGTGAAAGTTGATACTGGAAATTTACGAGGCGTTGAAACGGTAATCGGTCCACGTTTACTGTGCGCATACGATCCCGAGTTTCCGCGCAGTTAACGCGACTTCACTGTACACAAGAATTCCTCGAACTGTCGACAATTCTGAAAACTGTCGTCAATTTCCAGCGAGTACAAGCAAAAGGTGAATCTCGTCGATCGCGAGGAAGACGACAGTGTCGAGTATAATTTGAAGAACACTTGGTACTTCAATCCTTCCCGTAGCAACGGGTTAACTGGCGAGGAGGAGATCGTTATGCCTCACCTTCTGATCGTCAATATGGTCAAAATCGTTTTGGTTGAACAACCAACTGCCATAGGAATAGTTTGTGAGTATATAATTACCCTGATATCGTTGGTGTGTCTCAAGAGAACATAGTTTCTTTAAAATACAACAATGTACCTACGGTTAAACGAGCTACAAATTGGCTCTTTACAAAATATTCTTGCAAGAAACGATACTGGCGCATTGTTTTGTTCACGATTTAAAGGTTTCGTTTTAGAATAATCGTAGTTAGATAACTAAAAGTCTGCTCAACATTTTTATACGTTAAGTAATCGGAAATTGAAATTAATCCCATTCGAGACGGCAATACGCAGTAAACATGTAACTTTAATTACTTCGGTAATAATTTTGAAATTATATTACAAGAATGTGTTTTAATTTGTTGCATTTTATCTACGGTACTCAACTAACAGCAGTAATATTGATAATTAGGCTAGGTAAGTTTATGCAAATTCCCAGTTTCCGATACAAATACCTGAAAATTAAAATTGGACAGAATATTGTATTCTGTACTCGAGGCTTCACTACGTTAATAAAAACACATAAATAGTGCAAAATATTATTAAAATCTTTATCTTACTGCATTTTACTATTAATAATACAGGGCGTCTCAGATAACTTGATTACCTCGAATAATGACTTAACGGTACACTTTATGAAAATTTTGAGCTGTGAAACTTAAATGGCAGCAAGGGGCACGTCTTCAGTTCAAAGATTTCAAGGCCACCTTGCTTTTTTTAACGGAATGACTTATTGTTTGTACCATAGATCGATAGAGTATCAAATTCTGAGTAAAATTGTGTTGATCTGCATAGGTCCTAAACCTAATAGTTAACGAGATATTTACAAATAAATATTAATTTTAGCGATGGCCCATAGCTTTCAGCTAGTAAGTACATATTAAAAATTATTTTGTAAATATCTCGTTAACTATTATGTTTAGGACCTATGAAGGTCAACACATTTTTACTCAGAATTTGATACTCTATCGATCTATGGTACAAAAAATAAGTCATTCCGTTAAAAAAAGCAAGGTGGCCTTGAAACCTCTGAAATGAAAGGAAATAGAATCAAAGAATCGGCAATATGGGCTTTTGGTACTTGAAAAATTTTATGATGACATGCGCCACTTGTAATCTTCCAATGCACCACGTTTGGCGCATGCGCCATACGTTGGCCACCCCTGACACAGACACTTTGATTCGCTGTTTATGCTTTCGCGTTACAGTGGAGTCCATTTATAGCGACATTCAAGAGACAGAGAAATTACGTCGCTGTAAACGAATGTTGTTATAAGCAGAATGAAAATATATATAAAGTAATGTGTATGGGAATCGAACTTAGAGAGCAAGTCGGATGCAATATGCGGTCTGCTGTTATAAGCGGTGTCGCAATAACTGAACTCCACTGCACTTTGTTTCTCGGAGACAACGACGGGGGGGGATTCTATATTCTTACCTTTCGATCAAGAGCGAAGGTCAGGCTGACCTTATCTAAGAATACCTAAGGATCGTAAGGTGGGTCGACCGGAGTGTGTTACTTATAGCTAAACGACAGGGGACCACTTACACCTCGCCTTGGGCGAGAGAATCAATTCATTTCTATGATGTCTCGATTCACACGCCGCGTGTGTAGATACAGTGAAAGTCAAACGCTAGTGTACAGGTTGAAAGTATGGGATTCATTCATATTTAGTTCCCTCAATTTAGAATCGAATATTTCGCATAGATGCTCGATTATATTGAGATCTGGTTACTGTGGAGGAGGACTTAACTGATTGAAAGTGTTCTCTAGCAAACAATTTTTAACCACCTTTGCTGTAGATTTCGTTTCACGATTTCACTAAAGGACCCATAAATGCACTTACAGATGAATATGCAATTGCATTGCATAACAATTGGCTCTACATAAAGAAACCTCTAGTTGGCCCTTCGTATTACAGTGAGGTAGATCCTACGTTGAGTATAATTGTTAGCCCAGTTGCAAAAAAGAATGACAATTCTAACTGTTGGCCAACCAATACTGCATCAAAGGCCCATAAAAATACCAAGAATAATTGCTACTAGGGTTCTACAGTGCGTTAGAAAATGATACAGCCACCTACGTTTTCTGGTGTAATTCGAGAAAGAAATCACCGATCTGTCTCAAATTTGTTGTGTATACATATAGTCTAAATAGTTGTTGATAATTTTAGAGTGATTCATTCACAAAACGTTCGCTCATTGAGGCACAGTAAACTCTTTCATGAATTTTTTTTTTTGAAGGATAATTAATTTATTTTATCGAACAGTTGTAATAAAGAACATATAGTAATTGTTCAATATTTAATTGGTTTTCCGTTACTTTTGATAAGTAGATTCATACGTCTTGGCATGGAATTTGCTAGATTCATTAGCATCTCGGTGTTAATTTTGTTCCATGATTGTACGATGGCCACCTTCAGCTGATCTGTTGAATCAAATTGACGACAATCGTCATATACATTTCTAACCAGTATACCCCACAAATTCTCTATTGGATTGAGGTCCGGGGACCTCGCTGGCCAGGCGAGAGTCGGCACATTTTTCGCCTTTAGTCATTCGGTGGTGCTTCGTGACGCATGAACGGAAGCATTATCATGCATGAATGTAAAATTGACCGATGGGAATCACCTAACTATTTAGACAACATACACAACAAATTTGAGGTGGATCGGTGATTTCTTTCTCGAGTTACACCAGAAAACGTAGGTGGCTATATCATTTTCTAACGCACTGTAGATGGTGTTAGGGTTGCTAGACCATGGAGCGCAGATACGGAATCATATTTCGATTGTTTTCTTTCCAGCGAAGGCGGTCGACAGCATTTTCAAAAAACCGACGTCTGTCTTCATGAGAGCGAAAGCGAGGGAGATACTTTTCGACGGGATACCTATCGACTGCACGGTGAAAGATTTCGCTGGGACCGCGATCTGTAACGGCCTGAAAGAGAAGGCACCGGACGGTTTGATACCGGTGGACGCCGATGGCCACTACCTGCTTTCGTTGTTCGGTTCCGTATGTACACAGGAATATTTAATTAACCCGCAACGACAGAATCTATATTGTTTAAGGGATCGAACGTGGCGGTACAAATTAACTTTTTCTTCGACCATATTTTCAAGGTTATTTGAAGGTCACACTATTACAGCACTTTTAGTGCCTCACTTCCTTTATTTTGCAGAAAATTGATTCTAATAAATACCTGAAGTGATGTCCATCAACTTTGATATATTTTTTCATTAATCCCTCTATCGTAGTTATTTTATTATTTAAATCTACTCTCGTGTATTTCTGGATTTTTCGCACTCAAGGTCACATGAAGGTCACGCTATTATAGATCATTGGATTAGTCTTGATCTCAACTGTTACGCCACGCTGCTAAAAAGTATGTAGTCCCATTTACAAAAACATCGATGACCTTGAAATTTCGAAAAATATGACATTGAGAAAAATTTTTGCTGACCCGTAATATTTGCTCCTTCTAACCGAATAATACTTTCCACTCACATTTTTTTTTGTATCTTCAAAAACAAGTGAGATGTTCAAGCTGCTCACGTTAAGTGGGACACCCTGTATGTATTCTGTCGGCGGACGTGATGATACATATTTTCGGTTATGGGAATGAATAATTTATCCACGCAGAAAAACGGATCGGTCGTGCCCGAGCGTATACGTGTGCTGCGTGGTATTAAGAATTATCGTGACGTCGGACGGGTGACGGAATTCGACGGGAAACCGGCGTTGACGATTTGGCCGGAGGATCATTGCAACGAGTACAACGGGACCGATTCGACGATCTTTCCACCGTTGCTCACGGAGGCGGACGACATCACCTCGTTCGCGCCGGATATCTGCAGAAGCCTGTCCGCTCATTTCCGGCACAAGAGCAAAGTCAAAGGTACGAGTACGCTGTCGTTATTCGGTTATAAATAAAAATGTAAGGTAAAAAAAAAAGAAATAAAAGTACAGTGGACTCTAACTATATTGCCATGTCCGGGGCTGTAGGAGAGTAAACTTTACTACCGTTACAAAACTTTTCCGTAAAATTAATATCGCAGCGTAATATGTAAAACAAGACCAAGAGCCTCTATTAACTGAACGCATATATTTTTTACGATTTATGACTTAAAAAACAAAATAATACACTGCCCAGATAGCACATTACGCCTTAGAGACGCCTATTTTACGGCTATTTTAGGTCTAAGGCATCTTTAAGTCGTCTTCAAGGTGTCATGTGCTATCTAGGTGTGGAGATAAAGATTTCTCGTTGAACTGATTTCACAAAAAAACTCCTGAATGGAGCAAAGAATAATTCTGTTTGATTCCAGCTTCTATAAATTAGTCCATATATGCCCAAACGCTTCTGGTCGTGAAAAAGCGTATAATCCTTCTTTGTTTACATTTCTTTCCTTTTTTTTTTGTATGATTCCGCCTCACAGGCGTCAATACGTTTCACTATACGGCCGATTTCGGGGACATGAGCACGAATCCCATGGAAAAGTGCTTCTGTCCAACGCCTGACACCTGTCTAACGAAGAATTTATACGACTTAAACAAGTGTTTGGGGGCGCCACTCATCGGCTCTTTGCCGCACTTCCTAGGGGCAGAAGAGAAGTATGTGCAAATGGTGGATGGTCTCCATCCGAACGAGGTAAATATGTATGTATACAGTAACTCCACGATGAGTGCTCAAAAGCACCTCGACTCTAACAAGGAGAAGCCCCAGGTGTAACGCAGACTTTTTAATGAGGATTAGCAGAGTGATAGAACTTGGAATTCTGAAGCCAATGGTATTTGTTTCAGCCGCATATGGCAACTAGTTTATGAAATATTTTATGTTCAGTGCCGAAGAGCCATCGAACACTCATCGAGGATTTATTGCACGTGTTGTCCCACCTAACGCAAGCACCTTAAATAACTCACTTGTTTATGATGGTAGAAAAACATGTGAGAGGAAAATATTATTTGACTGGAAGGACCAAATAAGGTGATCAGCAAAAACACATTTCTGAAGGTTATATTTCTGTCGATATATATTGTAGTCTAGGTCCTCGATGTTTTTTTTAAACGGGACTACATATTTTTATCATCATGGCGTAATAGTTGAGGTCAAGACCAGTCCAATGACCTATAATAGTATGACCTTGAATAATCTACAGAAATATGGGAGTAGATTTAAATAATAAAGTAACTAGGATAGAAGAATTAGTGCAGAAAATTTATCTTAACAAATACTCGGTGTAATGTCCATCAATTTCGATACATTTTTGTAGATGAGAAATTATTGTATTTTTCATACTGAATGTAGAGACAATAGAAATAGATGATAATGGGTTTTTCGTACCCAAGGTAACATGAAGGTCATACTATTACAGGTTTAAGATGCTCACGTTAGATGGGACACCCTTATGTTACATTTATTAACGAAGACAATGGTCTGCAGATAGAAATTGATCTATCACTCAATACACGATATTAACGACTAAATGTTATTTACGTTAAAACCAATTTATACTCGATAAAAAGCGAACACTCCTGTATATTGTGTACAAAATAAAGTGACAATAAATTCGTGTCCCTGAATCTGTTTAACAGGAAGATCACGACATGTCGATGGACTTCGAACCAATGACAGCGACACCGTTGAGCGCGCACAAGAGGCTGCAATTCAGTATATTCCTTCATTCGGTCGAGAAATTCAAGCTGATGAAAAAGTTCCCAGAATGCCTGTTCCCGTTGTTCTGGGTGGAGGAGGGGATTCTACTCGGCGACGAGTTCGTGAAAAAATTGAAAGACGTGTTCAAGTTGATGAGCATCGTCGGGTAAGTCACTTCGAAAGAAGAAATCGTTAATTTCGAAATACATCCCAGATTGCACATGACGCCTTGTAGACGGCTTAAAGGCGCCTTAGACACAAAATAGCTGTAAAATAGGCGTCTTTAAGGCGTCATGTGCTGTCTGGGATACAGGGTGAGTCAATATGAATTACTATCTAAAATAAGTCGTTTCTGATTGGTTGTATCCAAAAACGTTTTGCATAATGAATTATGTAGCATTTTAAGGAACGCATCGGATGGTTACAATTCGATTGTTTTTTCAAGATATAAAGGTGACCTTGAATTTTTTAAGATTAATTTATCTTTGTCTTCATAACACGTTGATGTCTATGGAAAAACGAATTCAACGACCTATAGCATAACATGGTATTAAAAAAAAAGATAGATTGACCTTGAACAAACTGAAAGTCACCTTGATATTCCAAAAAGGTAAGACATAAAACAGTCGAATTAACATCCATCCAATGCGTTCCTCAAAATGCTCCATAATTCATTAAAACGTTTTCTGATACAACCAATGGGTAATGAGTTATTTTAGATAATATTTCGTACTGACTCACCCTGTATGTTATATCAGGTTATTGTATTTAAAAGAACAATGTGGCCGGCGTTACGACATCAACCCCGTCAAAATTCTTCTTCTCAGCTGGTACCACTCAGTACCCAGATAGCACATGACGCCTTGAAGACGCCCATTTTACGGCTATTTTAGGTCTGAGGTGCCTTTAAGCCAAACTACTCAAGGCGTTATTAGGCGAAATGTGCTATCTGGGATTCCGTTGTACGTTTTACAGGAAAAAAAATTTAGGACCTGTACCCAGATAACACGTGACGCCTTGAAGACGGCTTAAAGGCGCCTCAGACCTAAAATAGCCGTGAAATGGACGTCTTTAAGGAGGCATGTGCTATCTGGGTGTGTATGTACAAACACGTTTCTTCTCCCACAGGTTTTTGAAATATCTGATGATAGTCGGTGGGATTTGTGTGGGTGGCGCGGGGGCCGCACTGCATTACAAGAACAGAGACAAGAACTCGTTGGACGTGACGAAAGTGACGCCACAGTCGCAGGAGGGAAAGGATAACGAGCAGAAAAAATGGGAGCCACAGATGAACATCAGCACGATACAAAGCGCGGCGGTGCCGCCTAATTTGGACGTCAATTAATAATGCACCATCTCATTTCGTTTTTGAGGTTAGGTTGATTCCCGTGCGAGACGCACAGTGCTTCTGAGTACAAAGTATGTATATACAGGACGTCTCAGCTAACTTGTTCACCTCAAATAACGACTTAACAGTACACTTTATGAAAATTTTGAGGCGGGGAAGTTAAATAACAGCAAGGGGCACATCTTATAAAGTATGTGCTTTTTTTGTCGGTGGAGGCATTTCAGAGATTTCAAGGTCACCTTGATTGTTTTTAACGGAATGATTTATTTTTGGTACCATAGATCGATAGAGTATCAAATTCTGAGTAAAAATGTGTTGACCTTCATACGTTCTAAACCAAATAGTTAACGAGATATTTACAAAATAATTTTTAATACGTACTTACTATCTGGAAGCTCTAAGTGCTCGAACTGATGCCCCTCAACTTCAATACAACGATTTCAATATAGTGATTATTTTGTAAATATCTCGTTAACTATTAAGTTCAGGACGTATGAAGGTCAACACATTTTTACTCCGAATTTGATACTCTATCGATCTATGGTACAAAACATAGGTCGTTCTGTTTAAAAAAAATCAAGGAAATCTCTGAAATGCCACCACCCACAAAAAAGCACTTTAAGTTCCACACCTCAAATTTTCATAAAGTGTACCGTTAAGTCATTATTCGAGGTGATCAAATAAGCTAACACCTGTGTACAGGATGTTCCACCTAACATGAGCACCTTTAATATGTCACATGTTTCTGAAGGTACAAAGAAATATGAGGGGACAGTATTATTTGATTAAATGATGATAAGCAAACATTTTTCTCAAGGTCATATTTTTCAAAATTTCAAGGTCAACGATGTTTTTTTGAAAATGGGATTATAAATTTTTTTATGGAAGTGGCGTAATAGCTAAGATCAAGAGCAATCCAACGACCTTTAATAGTGGAACCCTCATGTGCTTGCTTAAAGTTAGCAAAAGCGTGCAATTCTACGTTACTATGTAGTTTGACTTCAAGAAAGTGGAAGGAAAAAGCAAATCGATGTCAAAACAAAGAGTACATACGTGTATATAATTACCTTCAATAACACACGCCAGTGGGTATAATAAAACATTTTCAATTCTACAGAATAGGCACTGTAGCTCAATTAGAATATGAACATCGACTGAAATTTTTGACACGCAAGCAACACGTGGACTGAGATTGTTTACACTCATTCACTTGTTTTACTAATACTAATTTATTACTCTAATTGTATCAACCTACGAACACTCCTGGGAGATCGAATAATACCAACATAAAAGTTGAATTTTTCTACTTTTGTGCTCTAGACAACGCACTGTGCTACGTGAGCTCGAGGAATTTAGGCTCGTCTTTGCGGTTCGATGTCAGGGAGGGGCCGGATCACGCGTTAAACTGCGTCTACACTATATGCCATATCACGTTAAGCTGCGTCTACACTATATAGCATAACAGGTTATATAGCAATGTTATAAAACTTGCTAGAAAAACAAAAAAAAAAATCTTATATAACATTTTTCGTGTCATACAGCAAGTTATATGTTATCCATCGAGTGTGTTCAGAAGGTATAATCTTGTAACAAGTGATAAAAAATGTTATATAGCGAAGTTGTATAACAATTTGTTATACATATAACACTGTTTTAATATACAGTGTAAACGCAGTTTTAGTTGTACTGTCGGTGTTTGTGCAACGTATCAGTTTTAAGTACACTTTCCGGTGAAATTTAAAAAAACAATACAAAAACTTTTCCTTTCATATTTTCATTTAACAACATCTGAAAACTTATCGCCACTGTAACAAAATGCAATCCTTGACCGGTTTAAAAAATTCAAACGGAATTCTATTCCTAATTACACTCGTTTCCGTCTTAACCGTAATTATAAATTTTCAAGCACTCAATTTGTTTAACGTGCACTTGTGCGATGAAGACCCACTTTCGGGAATGTTTTGTTTAAACATATGGCAATCATTGTCCAATTGTTTTTTTTTTTAAGAATGTCAAAAATTTAGGCGATAGCCATTCGTGTGAGATTAAAGAATTTTTTTCGTTTTTTTTTTTAGATAGTTCAAGACTTTGACTTTTACAGTACATAAAAATGAAACAAAATTAATTAAAAAATTGTTTTTAGCGCATAAGAATTAAATAAGGTAACTTCTTTTACTCCACATTTGTAGTGACAACAGAGTATAAAATCTTTCGTTACCTCACATTGCACTTTTTTTTCAGAAAGAATCGTAAAAATCACCTCTTTTCCGCACGATCTGACCGAGAAGCGCCCTTAACCGAATTAAATTGATTATTCGATCGAATCATTCAAGTCAAACGGATTCTTTAACATTTTTCAATTCACTGCATTCGAATTCGTTGAATGTAACGACGAATAAATGGGCTCCGTAAGGATCACCACTTGACAGAAATTGTCTGAATATTGATAGATGATTTACAGTGTGTTTGACAATTATTGTTGAAGTTTATCGAATTTATTATTCAGAAAATTTCAGATCTTTCAATGATCCACAGTGTATGGTACGAACGAATACAAAATATAATTGCACACACAATATTCTTTTTGTATTGATCATTTGAAACGAAGTGAGAAACATAGAACGAATAGAAAGTTGTAATTGTTTGCACAGTTGAATAGAAATTTCGATAGTGTAATCCGACGAGCTGAATAACCGTTTGAAATCAATAAACGTGTGTAAATAGTATTTTCTGCATCGATCTTATATGCAACGCATAATTACGAATTTAGAACAATGTCGATTGGACCTGACGTTTACGTTGAGTACGAAAAAGTGACCTCAAACGAGATTTCGTTAGCTTATTATTGTTAATAAAACGTTTAAATTATTCCGTCCATGTTTGGTAATATTGAGATAACAATTTTACACTTATGTATGTACCCAGATAACCTTTTGCGTGCAGATTGGCAGCAGATAGTAACAATATCTGTCTACAAATTCATAGTCATCTATTTCCGCCTTTGGTTTGGGTTTTGAAGGCAGAGTGTTGACAGAATCGTGAAACAGATTTGCGGCAGATTCTGCAACACAACCCAGGCGAACTAACCTAAGTCAATTTATAACCTAAGCTATGTTGCAGATTCTGCCGTTAATCTGCGCTCAAATTATTTATAGCACATCCTGCATCAAATCTGTAGCCATTATGATTACAAAAGCTTATAACAGGCATTCGACAAAATCTGGATGTGCAGGTTTAGCTGGTTGGGTACATACAATCGTCAGGAATTTACGAAGATCAAGATCTAGCTTTATCTTCATATTCCCATCTTGTTTATCGTGTAAATATTGTTCAATTTTTGGGTGATCAGTTTTTTTTTTGGTCTCTAGTACTATTTATATTTTTTTGTCTCTAATACCATAGCAAATTGTTTATGATTTGATATATACACCTAACGTTATTGTAAAGACACCGCGTAAAGAATGTTAGAAGGAAGGAATAGAGAGGAAACTAATAGAAGTTCCTATTTTCTGCTTGTTTATATTTAATGTATTAGGTGCGCGGGAAAGTAATAGCTGTACGCATTTAAATTGCTATACGGGACAATGCCAAAACGTTGGACGGTTAATACGGATTATAGTTAAGAAAACAGCCACTTACTGTTTCGTACACATAATGTATAAAACTTAATACGTTACAAATTCTTTACGAACATTGTACACGTGCTACTGTATTGATTTTCTGTTTCATTCAATTTCAAGTGTCGTTGTACATTTAATTGTAATAAGAGTATCAATTAAACTACGAATAAACGATATTTTGTAACGAAAACTTCAATTTGTTTCCAGATAGCACATGACGCTCAATGACGCCTTCAAGACGGCTTAAAGACGCCTCAGACCTAAAACAGCCGTAGAATAGGCGTCTGCAAGGCGTCATGTGCTATCTAGGTTTGTTCTTCACAGAACGGTAAAAAATCTCTTTCATTTAAAAGAGCCCGAAAGTCTGATTAAGAAGAACGTCACGTTTCCTCGGAGAAGTGGAGGAGGATGGGATCATCGAATAAAATTTTAATACGTTTCGAGTCAAATAATAGACAGGGTGAAACACAAAAATGGTGCATAACTGCTGAGGTAGATAGTACTTGCCAAGTGATGAAAACAAGTTCTAATAAACATGAGTGGAACAAAATAACATTTTTAAAGTTACAAACAATTTTCGGTTTCAGTCAAAGCAAGTGACTTTCTCGGTTCGGGAGCTATTGTACCGTATGGAAACGTTGAAGAGAATTGTAAAAAAAAACTAATAGGAATTGTGAAAAAATCTTCAGTAATCAGGAAACGAAGAAATGATAAGGTGCTTTGACCGAAACCGAAAATTGTTTATAGCTTTGAAAATATTAGTTTTTCGACCGATGTTTATTAGGCAAGCACTATCTACCCCAGAAGTTATGAAGCCTTTTTTCGTATTACCCTGTATAATACATTTTACCTTGTAATCGTTCTAAATAATACACATTATTACTTTTATAATTTATTGTAAAACGGTTGTTAACACAGTGCTTACGCAAAATATATTTACTGTTTGGGTCCAGCGCATTTAGCCTGGATTAGGTTAGGTCTCACCTCGCGAATGGTCAAGCTTTTCGTCCGGCGCTAATTTTACAATTTTTCTAATAAAACTTTTTCATTATTATTAATAAATCCATTATTATTGTTATTAAATTTATTATACAATTTTTGGATATTTATTATTAAATAAGAATTTTCAATGCAGACACTTTTCTGCCCGATTATGGAATAATAATTAAACGTGATTAGTTGTAAGTATGAAACATTTCTCTTTCTATGCTCTAAAACAGTACTGGAAACTTTGATCGCGTTTTTCTCGCAACTACTTTTTCTTAATCGGCGGCCATGATAACTTAAAAACTAATTGATCGATTTAGTTCGAACTTGGCATATCTGTTCATCAGATGTGTCATTCTAGCCCGTACCGCGAGTTTTTCGATATATTAAAATCAGTGCGCATCCATTTGTTGCGTATCCTCGTGTCATATCATTGTTGTGTATCAATGAGGAGGGGCAAGCGTTGCATCCTTGCGTATAAAAATGTATCGTATAGTGATACGATACGAGGATACTCACCTTAAACTGCTTCGAACAACCCAGCGTCAGCCTAAAAACACATAACCTCAATGTTTCCTCGCTCCGTTCCTCGTTCTCGAGTCGTTCCTGCAAAACAACACATCCTTGTAGGCTGTCCTGTACTCGGAGCTCATGATCACGTATACCACTGGATTTATGCACGTGGTCAGATAGATCAGCACGTATCCGGCGATGTTCAGGCCCCGCCAATCGATCGCGTTACGGAACGTTTTCGTGACGGTGATCGGTAGGTAACAAACAAGGAACGACGAGAATATCACCAGAATCATTTTCAACAGTTTCTTGTCTTTGTTGCTCATCCGCGGTGGTAGACCATTTCCGTTCCTCGACTTTCGTCCGTTCCTGAGGTACCTCGATCCGTGTCGCGTGATCACGGTTTGTCCATCTTTGACCGATCGTTCCGGCGTGGTGGACGATCGAACGCTCTCCAATCGATCGCTGTCCGCGGACACTTTCGAGTTCAACCGTTGCACCCAGAGAGCCGACGACTCGATTATAAACGACGCCCTACTGGCCATTCTTTCGAGCTTGTTTCGTGCCGTCGTGGGACCGCCTTTCGTCGTCGACTCTTTGGTCGTTTCACGATCGTTGAGCGGGAACGCGGCATCCATTTCGCCAGAGTCGTCTCGCTCGTCGACGTACGGTATGTCGTCGATTTTTATATCGAAACTGAGGTTCGTTTTATCACAGACACGTAGATACCCAGTAATTGGCGACGATTGGTCGTCGTCACGATTTTCTTCCGACAGTTTTCTAATTTCATTGGCCTTTTCGTTGTCCTCCGATTCTTTAGACGGGGCTTGTAACTCGGACAGGGACTCTTCGATCGCTGACCTAGATGGTGTTCGCGAACAGTTCAGTCGATTCGACGGCGGTGTCGCCCGTTTCGACGAGAAGTTCGAGCAAACGACGCTGGGGGCGCAACTCGAACCCAGCACGGAGAGCTCCTCGTCTTGCATCCGAGGAGACACCGAGCGTTGCTGGAACGAACGTACAGAATACGGGAATACAGTAAATTCTCAATAAGTGCTCGAAGGCTCCTCGGCACTGGGCATTAGATATTTCATAAATTAATGCCCATATGTGACTGAAAAAAATATTATTGGCTTTAAAATTCCAAACTCTATCACTATGCTAAACCTGATTAAAAAGTCAGCGTTACACCTGGGGATCTCTCCTTGTCAGTGCCGAGCAGTCTTCGAACACTCATCGAGAATGTACTACATGTAACGAATAGACTGCAGATCTTTATACAAATTCACGCTTTTATGGAAAATATGTACAATAAGGTAGCCACCTCCGATTACGATGATTTTTTTTATTTGTTGTCAAGGTCCTCGCCCTGGATAGTATTGCGAAGGTTTTCATTGGAGATCACCGTTTGTGAAAAAGTTATTAACAAAAAAAGTTTAGTACCGTACTTTAGTAGTATTTATAAGTAAAATGACCGATGACCTTGACCTTGACATGTGTTGTCAAGGTCATCCTTCTGAGTGACCTTGAGAAAGTTTCAGTTATGAAATGTTGTTTACTAAAAATTGAATAAGAGACCAATGATACATTTTTCTTGAACTGTATCTAACCAATTCTGAAGGAAAATAAAAAAAAATAGAACTTCGCACTGTTTCGGAGAACTATTTTGTAAGCATTTTTACATCACCTTAAGTAGAGGCTGGTCTATTGTTTTAGGGGATGATTGTTTGGTCTTATTAGTAATTTAAAAAAAAATGTGTTTTTGACTTTAGCGCATCGAAATCGGTGGGAAGGCCAAACGTCTGAATAATTATTTACTTAAACTTCTTTTGATAATAACTTTTTTACAAACGGCGGCCCTCGGAGTGATGACCTTGACAACTTATTGAAAAATCATCGAAATCGGGGGTGGCTCCCTTATTGTAAATATTTACTAAAATTAAGTCACATACATTTCCTTTATATAAGTGTTGTAAGTTCAAACAGTGACGGATCCAGAGGGAAACGATAGGGGCAATCACCCTTCCTCCAAAAGTAATCAAATATAAAAACATTATGTCACGTATACCTATAAAGGGTGGATCAAAAAAATGTACCTATGTACTTTTACTCATGTCGCCCCCCACCCCCAAGAAAGGCTCCTGGATAGCTCCCCCTCATCTTTGAAAAAAAACTCTTGAATTCGCCCCTCCTAAAAGACACCTGGATCCACTACTGAGACCAAAATAAAGTGAAATGTACAGTAGTCCGTAATAAAATTTATTCTGTATTATTTTTAGCACATTCTTATTTATGATAAATGCATAACATCTGTAGTCTAATAATAAAAGCAATTTTTGTAGATATGTATTTCGAAATATTTAGGCAGGCCGAGCTGTGTAATAGTTCTATGGACCATTTAAAGTGTCAAGTATGAATTGTTAAAAAATTAATAAACATCCGTTACTTCGTTGTACGGAGCCTGTAATCTGTAATATTCAGTCATTTTTGTAACGTCTTTGTTTGTAATGTTCTATCTAGAAATTATCGTACAGTCCAAAATTATGAATATCGTAAAATTATAGTTTGTATCATTGTAAAAAGTTATTGAAATTTACTGTATAGTGTTTGCACAAGGATTTAAATTTGTTTCCGGAAACGGAACAGAATCAGATTTCCGGTACACAGACGATAGTGCTGTCATCTAACAACACTCACGAGAATTCATTAGCTACTAGCTTGGAAGTTTCGCCATAGATGACGCAACAAACGTTTTTAAACTGCTTTATTTTTTGTGTTCCAGAAAATGTAAGAAAGTTCCGTAAAAATGCAAAAGATCATAATTGTTAATGGATAATGTCGAGTCGGTTAATGTTTATACAATTTTTCAAAGAAGTACTCGTGTGCCAAACTCCGTAAATTGAAATGTAAAGAGCATAGACGTAGTTCCAAAAATGATTAATGGAGGAAAATCATGAAAAAACAGATGAAATCACTTTTTATTCGATTATTAAAGTTTTGTTACTTCAGTGTTAATTAATTATTAATGGAGTTTTTTATTTGTCAAGCTCTTAATTTCAAACTCGAGGAACGTACTTTCATTTCACGATTAAAAAGAAATGTACCTTCCCAGATAGCACATAATGCCCAATGACGCCTTGAAGACGGCTTAAATACGCCTTAGACCTAAAATAGCCGTAAAATGGGCGTCTTTAAGGCGTCATGTGCTATCTAGGTTATGTACATTTCCTTTTAATTCTCACCTCGTGGTTGACTTGCATGGCATTAGTGTTCCCAATCAGATTTCTTTTCCTGCTTCTACAGGCGGTTTTTCGGACGATGTAGAAAATCCTGGCGTAACAAACGACGATCGCGATGCAGGGAATCAAGAAAGCAACAACGAAGAGAAATTCTTTAGGGCTCCGACCGTGCACGTCCGGCAATATCGAGCAAGAACCAATGGCGGTGTCCAGTCCGAAACGGCCCCATGTTTCGAACCAAGTGACGACGAGAACACCAAAAGCGACGATCCATATGCTGAAGACCATTGGTATTAAATATTTCTGTTTGTACAGTCTGAAAACAGAAAAATATGACAAATTGGTCGCATCATTTCGATACCCAGATAGCACATAACGCCGAATGACGCCTTGAAAACGGCTTAAAGGCGCCTTAGACCTAAAATATCCGTAAAATGGGTAAATATGACAAATTGGTCGCATCATTTCGATACCCAGATAGCACATAACGCCGAATGACGCCTTTGAAAACGGCTTAAAGGCGCCTTAGACCTAAAATATCCGTAAAATGGCCGGCTTCAAGGCGTCATGTCAATATATCTCATTTCCGTTCTTCCTACTTATAAGGAATTCGAACTTAAATCGAATATTTGAATACTTAAAAGCCGTAAAATGGACGTGTTTAAGGCGTCATGTCAATATATCTCATTTCCGTTCTTCCTACTTATAGGGAATTCGAACTTAAATCGAATATTTGAATACTTAAAAGCCGTAAAATGGACGTCTTCAAGGCGTCATGTCAATATATCTCATTTCCGTTCTTCCTACTTATAGGGAATTCGAATTTAAATGGAATATTTGAATACTTAAAAGCCGTAAAATGGACGTGTTTAAGGCGTCATGTCAATATATCTCATTTCCGTTCTTTTTACTTGGAGTTCGAACTTAAATCGAATATTTCAATACTTAAAACGTAGGGAATTAGTGGATTTAATCATTTATTCACACATTTGATTTATTTTAAGATGAAAAATTACACGACACAATCGATGGCTCGTTTAACCCCTTGTCTTACGTTGTGCCGTTCGTAGCATTGTAATTCATGGTGTCACACCATTTCCCTCAATATTAAATATGTGTATGAAATATTTGGTCGTTAGAAAGCAAGGTTTTAAGAGTTCATACCCAGATAACACATAGACGGCTTAAGACGGCTTAAAGGGGCCTCAGACCTAAAATAGCCGTAAAATGGGCACCCTCAAGGTGTCATGTGCTATCTAGGTAGGGGATATTACTTATTGTAGAAAAATGCTTACAGTCTTAAACTTGGCAAAAATGTAATTTTTTAACATACGTTTTAAAATATTAGGTGTCACCCAGGCTACACTCAACGCAACCCCTTAGTGAAGCCACTGCCTTACCATTTTGTTTACAATAGTAGGTATACAGTAAAACCTGTTTTTGTGCGGTTCTTTTCTATACGATTTTATTTTTATGCGATTTGTTTTGTGCGATTTTATTTTTGTGCGATTTTTTTTATGCGGTATATGAATTTCAACGGCGTTGGCATTACTGTAATGTTTTCTATCAGTGTACATATAAATATACACTTCAAGATGCTCTGTTCATTTGGTTTAAACAGTTTCCCGACAATGTACATTCAATTATTTTCGCTCGACGCGCTAGCAGCATACGCTTCGTATTCCGAGTTTTATCCACGACTCACGTGATTAAGGATTCATTTTATAGTGAGATTAAAGGTAAATAAATTAATTACTTTTGTTTCTATTTGTATATAGTTTTTATGATTTTCATTTTATTTTTAAACATATGTACTCCCTTAAAATGAATAATTGTAGCCAAAAAAAAGTGAAAAGAAAGACAATTCCATTAGAAACAAAAAATCTAATATTAAATAGACTAGCAGATGGTGAACCAATTCATCACAAGAAGATGCGCGTTAAGGATTACGACGACTAGCAGTGAATTATGTAATGTGCATTTTGAAAACTTCTCCATGTATACAATGAAAAATTAAATGTTTTTATAATGTGTAATTTAATTATTTATTTTGTTTGGAAGCACTTTCTCATGTATTTCGTAAATAATTGACGTATTTTCTAAGTGCGACTTTTTTTATGCGGTCCCTCTCCGCCGCATAAAAAAAAATTTCTGTAGTATGTCGTACAAAGTTGTTTATTATATGTAGTATTTATGAAATTTCCGAATATTTTTTTGTGCGGTTTCTTTTATGCGGTCCCTATCTACCGCATAAAAACAGGTTTTACTGTATACTCTTAACCCTCAAATACATCGCGAAGTTTAACAGACCCCAGTTGTTCTTAGAATGTTTACAATATATACCTGTCCAGGTCAAGCGAAGGTGTCAGGACCGTAGGAGGGAGAAAAAGTTAAGGACTGTCGTTAAGTTTTCCGCTATTAAGCCGCGTCAGTCTTTCCTTCGTAACCGAGTGATCAACGTCGAAAGTGTAAGTTGGGGCCAACAAACGTAGTAATGTATATGTACAAGCGTCGATAACTCAGTGCAGTGGAAAAAACTAATATTTATTGCATATTTTACACTCCACAATACATTTCACAGCACAAACAAGAACTTTTTAAATACACTTACCCGAAATTAGTTTATGTGACGCGTGAACGACTTACTTGGGATATAATCTGGGATGACCTATCATCACGTAACGATTGATCGTGATCGCTAGGATCGTGAACAGGCTTACTGCGACCAGTCCGTATCGCAACAGAGGGAACAATCGGCACAACAGCGGCCCGTGACGCCAGGAACTATGCCAGAACGTTGACGTGGCGAGGGGTAGATTGAAACAGCAGAACATTAGATCGGAGATCGATAGATTCATTATGAAGATCGCAGTTGCGTTTCTCAGCTGTAAAAAATGAAAACAGAACAAGATATTGATTAATTGTACTAAATCAATTTATCGGTATTGGGGTCATGGAAAAGATTCGTTAGAATTTCAATTTTCTGCTTTATATATCGTGACTTTAATAAGTGAACCTTGTAACTCTACTTTTGGGCTAATTTTGCATTTTAATGTCAGTCAAAGCACTCAAAATAAATACATTTTCCGAAATAATTCTGCAACTCCTGCAAATTAAATAAAGTTCAAAAAATTTACTTATTTTCAATAATTTAATAAGTTCAATTAATTCTAAACCGTTTTATTGCTCTTCTATAAAGTTTCGTTAAATGGAGTTACGAGTTTTACTTATTAAGGTCACGATATGCTTGAATACAAAAAAAATAGGATACGCGAAATTGGCTACATAAGACCTAGGGTGGATGCACCAATACATGAACACGTACCAGTGAATGAACATTCCCAGATGACGCCTAATGACGCCTTGGAGACGGCTTAAAGGCGCCTTAAAATAGCCGTAAAATGGCCGTTTTCAAGGCCTTATGTGGTATCTGGGTTATATATAAAAACGAATATGTTAAGTTATTGCAATAAGCAAATGATTAAATGTTGATCTTTTTCAATTCCTTGTTTCATATTTAAACATTTTTCGCGCCATTAGTTAGAAATGTTCATTTACTTAATATTGTTCATTCACTGGTGAAATCTGTATTTTTTGTTTTTAGTTCAATTAATTTTATTATTCCAATTTTCCAAATTGAAATATATACGGTATACAAAGGTGTAAATATTCAAAAATCTAATTTTCATGTGCCAAATATTTATTAATGTTATTATCATATAAAATTCGACTTTAATAGTTACAAAATCTCTTAAGTGTTCAACATTGGTGTGTCTATCCTACTGAAAATTAATTTTAACACTTTGAATGCCGGAATAACCTCCACAGAGCATCCACAGGATTAGACCTCTTTGTCTCAGAAAATCGAAAACTGTATTTAACCAACGTTTTTTTATTTTTCCATTGTTTTCGAACCTTATAGAATCTATGCGTAGATATACCTCGAATACAACAAATACCACGAATACCATGAACACCAGGAATACACCGAATACATAAAATTTTTCGGAATATTCGAATATTCGAATGATTCAAATATGAAATTTAAATTCTACTGCTGTTTGAATATTCGTAACAGCCCTAATAGGGGAATCGCGAGAGTACGACACCCCCGTTTTCGCAAGGAACGTTGGTCGGACGGCGTAAAATATATCTAATTTCGAAAATGTCGTTTTCAATAATAAACGGCGCCGATGACCTTCCGGATCGTTGCCTCGTTTTCGTTATTGCGTCGCCGTGCTATTTATAGAAAAGCATGGTCATTACCATATGGAACAATGGTCGAACGGTGGTGACCGACACGCAGGGACTAGTTGAACAAAATGGCGTCCATGGCGTGGCTATAGGATTCATATATTTACGGTTGAATACACATTATATACAATCCTGGGTGGTAAAGATGAATTTAATCCTATAGAGAACGAATTCACATTAATAATGAAAAATATTTGTCTCGGTAACAAGAATCGTGGTATAAATGAAAATTTATGATTATTAACGTACAGTAACGGATAAAGAAGTTACCATTTTTCTGACTCCTTATATTTCTCATCAACTTGAAATCTCAATACACATGGGCGTAGCCAGCTACAGTCGGAGGGAGGGTTGGGAGGGGGGTTGACAAAATCTAATCTTAAGGTAAATTTCATAATATTATTTTTCTTCTTTGGGGGAGAAGGGGAATGCAAAATCCAATTATTTCCCTTCTAGAGTAGGAACAAGGCCACTTTTTTCCCTCCAGGGAGGGACGTGGGTGGGTGGGGGCAGGTGAACGCCCCCCTACCTCCCTTACCTATGCCCATGTTAATATACATACTGGGTTTATATGTACAGATTTTAATTCTCTATCAGAATGTACATACACAAACATATACGTACCCTCGCGAGCAAACTCGGCTTCCGCTATGGAAAAAAGTGTCGTAGAGAAAGGGCCTCCTATCACTTGATTTCGAAAGTTTCTGAAATTCATGCCAAATTAACATTCATTTTAACATTTATTTCAGTACTTGAATCAAATTAACCAAGTGCTAGGTGGTTCTTACTCTTACGCCATGTTTGCCCCTAGTGAAAGCCGAGTTTACTCGTGAGGGTACAGGGTTCTCCAAAAGTCCCGAAACTATCAAATATCTAAAAAAAAAAGAAGCATTTTTCCGAAAAAATGTTTCGGACATTAGTTTTAAGGTTTTAAAACTTCTATTGGATAGTTATATCCATTTGACCTTCAATGGAGGAGTCGAGGTGACGTCAAGGTCAAAATGATTTTTTTAGATGGAACTCTCCATTTTTTATCATGCAGTGTTAGAGCTGACAACGTGGCCTTTCTAAAACACTGATTGGTGATCTCGTTTTGATGAAAATTTTCTGAGTTATCAGCAGACTGCGGATTATTTATGCAAAATAAGATTTTCTAGAGTAATTTATAAAGACAGGAGCATATCTATAAATTTATATTTGCTCTTAAGTATCTTATTAGGTTCAGACTAAAATAGAAAAATCATTGGATCCGATGAAAGTTTTGTCTTCTATCGTATTTCACAGAACCCTATGGGCTACAAATGCATTATGAGCTTTCAAAAACGTAGTGCCGACAGCATTAGCATTATCCAGTGTGTACCAAGTGGAGATTACATGGTTGGTCCACACACATACCCTCACACGCACTCACACAAAGGGGTGTAAAGTCCATCCATGCAACCTCCACTTGATACACCCTGGATAATGCTAACACTGTCGGTAAAAATTGAATATTGGACTTTGGTTAAACTGCATTGTTTTTCTGAATATATACAATTTTGTTTTCATGCATTTTCTTTCCGAAAAATACATAAATCCTTTATTCTACAGCTCGATTAATGCATGAATTGAAATTTTTCGAAATTGCGACATGCGACGTTTTTTCTTACGACCACAGAGAAATAAGGTCCCAAATTTGGGACTCCCAAACGACGATAATAATTGTGACCAGCCGAGTGAATTTTACGACCGTTTCAAGGCTCGTCACCGACTGAAAGAAAAAATAACAAATCGTGTTTATATGTATGCATCGCGCGTTGCTAGATCGTCCCCGTACATAAATCCCCGTGGGTTCGCTCGAAGAAAGACGAACTGTTTGTATGCGCGGCGGGACGTTATCGTAACGACGTGGCGGTCTTATCTGGCTGGATCGGAGACGTTCTGCAAATAACGCCGTATTAAATCCTGGGAAAAGAATAAAAAAAAAAAGAAACAAATTTAAATAAGTGGAACTTAACCTCGAAGCTACTTAACAGGTATTATGTTTCCGTTTCCAAATAGGAGACTACATATTATGAGATGTTTTGTTTCTTATTTTTTAGATGTACACGGTGAACAATAGGTTAAGCGTATGAAGTGTTATCGATGGGCCCACGAAGACCGTGGCGCTAAAGAAATAGATTTCATATGTTCAATTTGTGAACAAAAAAAACAGGAGGAAAAAACCAACAATAATTGCTTCTAGGGATAGTAATACATGCAATATATGTATAATGCTATATAACTTGGTACACTACAATATAAGGCTTATAAGAAATTAGAGGTTCACAAAAATTCCGATGAAAGTATCATTAGGATTTCAGTAATTGTAAAATAAAATATCTGAAATCCGTCATTTTGATGGATTCGATAGTTCCAGTGTTGATAAAAGTGTTCTTAGTCGCGAATTATGTTTTTTAAAAATCGCTCTCATATTACGCAACTTTAACCTGAATACAATTTCAACCTCTAATATAATTGTTTTACACCACTGAACGGTATTTCTTATGACCATCATTTTGGTTTTTCACGACGATGAAAAATTTTCCAATGAAAAATTTCAATTCGATAATATCGTCGAGGAAATTGGAGATTTCTTTTGTTTTTTGCTGAAACATCGATATCACGAACGCACGGCATTGTGTTCTAAAACGAGCACCGAGGTGAACCACTTCTCTCTGACACGGACACGTCTAGGATTTAATAGTGGCGAGTAAGACGCACTGGAAACTCGAGGAACCGCGACGTGTAATCTATATCCCGTTCCGTGTAAGAAATTCGTCACTGGTAGATTCCACGGTTTTACTGTAATCCACGCCCTACCTCGGAACGTTTATCGTTGCGCAATACAAATCCAGAACACCGTCAGAGTGGCAAAATACCTTTGAACATACGATTTTTCTCTGAGGTGAACGGCTTGATAAATATACAGGGTGTCCAATTTAAATCGATCCTCTCGAATATCTCTGAAGTTATTCGTGATACTGGAAAGTGTTTCAAACAAAAGTTGATTGGTATCGAGGGGGGCATAATTTCATGTCAATAGTTTTTTTGTAGGTGGAGGTATAGAGGACATATGAAGGTCAACTTTACTTTTTTAAATGGAACTATATATTATTTAATGCATTGATGAATGCAGCTAGTCATTCCCTGGAAAAAATTATTAACCTATTTATATCGAAAAATTACTCGTTTAGGAGATATTTTAATTTCAAAATTACATGCGACGTCTATGGACGTACTTGTGAACATCAATTTTATGACGGGAAGATCGTATCACTAAACCACTGCGCTAATTTTTGAATTAAAATATCTTCTAAACTAATGGTTCCTCGGTATAAATAGGTAATAATTTTGTAGAGGAAATGACGAACTGCTTCGATCAGTGCATTAAAATATATATAGTTCCTTTTAAAAAAATAAAGTTAACCTTCGTATGTCCTCTACGCCTCCATTTACAAAAAAACTGTTGAAATGAAATTATTACCCCCTCGATACCATTCAACTTTTGTTTGAAACACTTTCCGGTATCACAAATAATTTCAGAGATATTCGAAGGGATCGATTTAAATGGGACACCCGGTATAACCGTACAATCAAAATATAGATATTGAAATTATAATCAATTATATGACCGTAGAGACTGTATAATAGATAGTATGAAAGCTTTGATGAAATCTACATCAACGTTGCAGGTACTTTCGATCTATCATACGATCATCTTCATCATCTTTGCGTTCACTTTATACTGTCATGAGTACAACGTATACCTGCACATCGAAGTTATTCAAAAAGTGGTGTATAATTATTTATATGACTGTCGAAACTGTAGATATTATGAAAACTTCGATCGAGTTTACATCAATGTTGGAGATTCTTTCGATCTATTATACGATTATCATCATCTCCATGTTCACTTTTATACTGTTGTGAATGCAACTCACATTTACATATTCAATTTATTATAAAAGACGGTTTATAAGTACTTATATTCCTGTCGAAACTATAGAAATCATGAAAACCTCGATCAAAGCTACATCAAGATTAGAGATTCTTTCGATCATCATCATATTTACGTTCAATTTATACTGTCGCGAAAGTAACCTACATTTGCATATTCAAATTATTAAAAAGATTGTCAATAATTACTTATACGACTATCGAAACTCTAGAAATCAATTAAAACTTCGATCAAAGCTACATCAACATTGCAAATTCTTTTCATCTATTATACATTATACGATCATCATCATCATCTTTGCGTGCACTTTATACTGTCATAAATGCAACATATATTTGCACATTGAAATGATTAAAAGGGTCGTATATAATCACTAATATGATTGTCGAAACTGTGAAAATAATTAAAACTTCGATCGAAGCTACATCAACATTGAAGATTCTTTCATCCTTCTCTTCGTCTGTCGCTACTCAATAGTTACTATTCGAGAATGAAATGAAAAATAAAAGGAATGCAAGAATAAAAAAGAAAGAAAACAAAAAAAAGATTCCAAGCAGATTACAAATGATAAGTAAATTCGTGTCGATCGTACACACTGACCTTTCTGGTCCGGGATAGCGCCATAATGGTGAAAAGGTTCCCCGGTATACCGACAACCATGAAAATCACGCAGCAACCGGCGGCGAAGTAAAGCAGCCATCGTGGATAACCGACGAAGAGTACCGCCGATCCTGGATCCTGAAGGACCACCTCGAGCGCCTCCGTTCTGTCGTTCTGGCCGGTCTCGTTGCTCGCCATCCAGTACTCCATCTGCGGGCAGCATGGGCAGAGACAGGTATCGTTTTGCAACAGGGCCGTCAAACCCACGGCGACGCAGCCGTGCCTACCCGGACAAAACGATTTCGCGACGATCAAATATACAGGGTGCTCTCAGCTAACTTGATCACCTCGAATAATGACTTAACGGTACATTTTATGAAAATTTTGAGGCGTATAACTTAAATGGGATTAAGGGGCACATCGTATAAGGTACGTGCTTTTTTTGTATGTGGAGACATTTCAGAGATTTCAAGGTGAGTTTGATTTTTTTTAAGTGAATGACCTATTTTTGTACCATAGATCGATAGAGTAACAAATTCTGGGTAAAAATGTGTTAACCTTCGTACGTTCTAAACTCAATAGTTAACGAGATATTTAAATAATAATCAATGTATTGAAATCGCTATATTAAATTTGAGGGGCATCAGTTCGAGCATCCATAGATTTTGGGTATCAACTAATCGATAGAGTAACAAATTCTGAGTAAAAATGTGTTAACCTTCGTACGTTCTAAACCCAATAGTTAACGAGATATTTAAATAATAATCAATGTATTGAAATCGCTGTATTAAATTTGAGGGGCTTCAGTTCGAGCACCCATAGACTATGGGTATCAAATAATCGATAGAGTAACAAATTCTGAGTAAAAATGTGTTAACCTTCGTACGTTCTAAACCCAATAGTTAACGAGATATTTAAATAATAATCAATATATTGAAATCGCTATATTCAAGTTGAGGGGCATCAGTTCGAGCACCCATAGATTTTGGGTATCAAATAATCGATAGAGTAACAAATTCTGAGTAAAAATGTGTTAACCTTCGTACGTTCTAAACTCAATAGTTAACGAGATATTTAAATAATAATCAATGTATTGAAATCGCTATGTTCAAGTGGAGGGGCATCAGTTCGAGCATCCATAGATTTTGGGTATCAAATAATCGATGGAGTATCAAATTCTGAGTATAAATGTGTTTGACTTACATACGTCCTAAACCTAATAATTAACGAGATATTTACAAAGTAATTTTTAATACTATCGGCCATAGCTTCCAACTAGTAAGTACGTATTAAAACTTATTTTGTAAATATCTCGTTAACTATTAGGTTTAGGACGTATGAAGGACTACACATTGGAGAAATGTAATTAATTAAATTGAAAAGAAAAAAATACAGATTTCACCAATGAGTAAACAATATTAAGTAAATGAACATTCCTAACCAGTGGTGCAAAAATTGTTTCAATACGAAAGACGAAATTGAAAAAAATCAATATTTAATCATTCGCTTATTTTAATACTTAATTCACTCGTTTTTATATGTATATATATACAGTGGGTAAAAAAAATATCCACACACCGTTCAAGACAGAACAACATTTTTTAAATTGATTTAAGTGAATTGCGTTTTTTTTGTGAAGTTAGGAAGATTAGTTTACTAAATGACGTGCAAAAATTTTTTGGAAAATGTTGCAATTGGTCGGAGTCACGAAGAAAATAGTAAAGGTCGCTTTTTACAACTTTTTTATCTGACACTGTAATGAAAATTTAATAAATACATTTCTTAGATTCATGTTAAAACTGAAAATTTCATCGAAATTTGTTAACGTTGTTATGAGATACAAACGATTAAAAAATTTTGAAAATCGCAGTTTATCTTTTCATCTTTCGATGCCTGTGGCTCGTTTATGTATCAACTGATTTCAATAAAAGTTTCAGCATGTACATATATAACTGACATAAATCCTCAAAATGTACTTATTAAATTTTCATTACAGTCTCAGATAAAGAAAACTGTAAAAAGCGACCTTTACTATTTTCATCGCGATTCCGACCAATTGTAACTTATTCAACATTCTTTTGGTCCATCATTTGGTAAACTAATCCTTCACAACAAAACTCCAATCACTTCGTCCAATTTTCAAAAGAAGTAGTTCACAGAACATACACATACTTTGTTTACCCACTGTACCTACATCCTACAAATATTGTTAAAAAATCATTCACGACTGATGTGACTTGTGACCAATTTATTCTAACTGATAATAATCTAAAAGATACAGTTTCATTCTACATCTTTCTATTCCTCTAAAAGTAAGTTTCTTGTGTGAACATACAAATTGATCATCGTGTGCTCGTTCTTTCTCGAATTTCATCATTTTTCTATTCCCAGTTCCCTCTCGTACATTTATCCCTTTGATCGTACCTTTCAATCCTTTCTTTTTTCTTTTTTCTTTTTCGTTCCTCGACTCGTGTTTCTCTTATATTTCTCGCGTGCGATCTCGAAAATGCACCCAGCAGGGAACCCCCCAAGTTCTTTTCTCACGCGGACGGTACACACGTCGACGAGGAAGAGCGAAATCTATTTTCGCCACCCGAGACGATAAACTCTTTCAGCCGGGAGTAAACTTTACCAGAACGATCCTGTGTCGTGTCGGGATCGCGTTCCTCGGGCAGGGGGGGAGGGGGGCAACCACGAAGGAACTGAGAGAGATCTTTCGATTCCGTCCAGAGAAAAAAGATCATGGGCGTGCACAGAGATGGGCAATTTCAATATCCAGATAAAAAATTTCGAATAACGAATAAAAGATAAGGAACGTATGTCAAAATTTTGTTAAGGGGTTACATACCTTTGAGCAGTTAAACAAGAGGGAAAAATAACAAAGTTTTTTGTATATGCAGAATTATTGTTTATTTAAAAATCGACATGTACAGTGGGTGAAAAAAGTATTCGTACACCGTTTAAAACAGACCGACTCTTTCAAAATTGGACCAAGTGACTTGAGTTTTTTTGTGAAGTTAGAAGGATTAGTGTACTAAATGATGTGTTAACAAAATGTTGAAAAGTTGCAATTGGTCGAAATCGCGAAGAAAATAGTAAAGGTCGCTGTTTGCGACTTTTTTTGTGAGATTGTAATGAAAATTTAACGAATACATTGTTTAGATTTATGTTAGTTATATGCATGCTGAAAATATTATCGAAATCGGTTAACGTTGTTATGAGATACAAACGGTTAAAAATGTTGAAAATCGCAGTTTTTCGCGACTTTTGACCGACAACTTTAGTATATCTAAAGATTCTTACATCTTTCGATACCTGTTACTCGTTTCTGTATTAACCGATTTCAATAAAAGTTGCAGCACGTATATGATTGACATAAATCTTCGAAATGTATTTATTAAATTTTCATTACAGAATTATTCGAATAAAATTGTGCCCACCTCTGGGCATAGAAATGTTCAACTATCGATAAATGTTGAGAATATTAACGAAATGGTATCGATACATCGATATATCGCTAAAATATCGTTAAGGTGAATCGAAACGACTGAGGTATACTGAAACGCATTGATTCTAGTAAAATAAAAACATATTCATTTCGGTGGAATAGAACAATGACTATTAAAATTTGAACAATTTCCAATTGTTTCAATTTTTTCAATTGTAAATAAAATCAAACAGAAAAATGACCTTTCAATGATACGTATTAGAGAATGATTTTAGAATGATTTTTTTTTTACTTTTGTCCCACTTTATCAGAAGAATCGACCACTGTGCCGTCGCAACGGTCGATGGCAAATAGGAGGAAAAGACGTTTTATCGGTGGCCTCAACCAGTGTAAAGTTGTTATCGTCAGCACAATCCCATCCATTCACGCGAATCCTTACGTAGAATTGAATGGAAGTGCACTCACCTTCGTGAGAAGCGTACGCTGTCGGTCCTGGTCTCATCGGTGCGAATCATTTATGGCACTTCAGCACACGAGGCGAGGGTAATCTCCGTTTGATACATTTGGATCACACTTCCATGGTACAATTCACGTTGAATCAATGAATTAGCTACAATTTTGGTGTCCTCTCCATTTTCATACTGACAAGTTTCGTTCCAAATGGTATACAGAGTGTCCCAAAAAAGCTTAGACTCTCGGAAGTGAGGGGTTCCTGGGATGATTTGAAACAACTTTTTCCTTAGCAAAAATGTAATCCAAGGCTTTGTTAACGGGATATAAACGAAAAACCGTGACCAATCAGAGCGTGAGTTCGCCGGCCGAGCTCTGATTGGTCGGGGATTTTCGTTAATATCTCGTTAACAAAACCTCGGAGAACATTTTTGCTAAAGAAAAAGTTGTTTCAAATTACTCCAGGAACCCCTCATTTCCGGGAATCGAAGCTATTTTGGGTTACCCTATATACCTTTGAGCTGTGAAATAAGGGGGAAAATTAAAGAATTTATTTTGTAAATATAGAATTATTGTTTATTAAGAATTCGACATATACGTCTTATTGTATGTTATTTCCTTAGTAAATTCTGAAGAATTGAGCTATACAGGGTGTAAAATGTTGCAGGTCCTTGAAATGGGACACTCGTGAAGCGATTTGGAACAAGTTTTTCTTTAGCAAAAATATTATACGAGGCTTTGTTAACGAGATATTAACGAAAAACCCCGACCAATCAGAGCGCGAGTTTTCCGGCGAATTCTCGCGATAACGTTGGCTACCAATCGCAGCACGTAGGTTTAAACGGGGTTAACAATAAAATTTGGTACAATCACCTTAGAGCTCTCTTTTAAACATGTTATATTAGCTAAAAAAAATTTTCGTTCGAACAGCTAGCAACAGAATAATCTAAGCTGATCACGTTTCGTGGTCCACCCAGTATAGTCGATATATATTAAGAAAATATGTATAATCAATTATATTGACTTTATTGGCCACTGATGTATTTAAAACATACAAACATCAGTCGAGCCTGAAAAAACATTGTAAATCCTTACGATCGATTAAGAAAAAGAACAGCATCGTCTTCACCTTCGTTCCACTCAAGATTGTTTTGAATACAGTTTGTGTTCGTATATTTAAACAATTGATAGATGATTTCATTAAGTCATTTAAATCTTGAAATCGTTCACGACGTAGAGGTCCTTTTTTTCAATTTTGGCTACAGTTCGTCGCCACAGTTCTTAACTGCTCTAACTCCATTTTTAAATAAAA